CGCAGTGCAGACATCGTCGGTGGATATTTCACTGAGTCCCATGCCCCCTTCAGTGTATACAAGTGCCTTCCCCGTGAGTTCTGTCCAGGTGGCTTGCCTGGTACTTGTGCCAATGAACTCATAGGAGTACCGTGCACTCACTGTCCGGATGGTAAAACCTGGGACAACAACGCCTGCCAGGAGTGCACGGCCTTCAGCCTGGCAGGATGGTTTTGCGCCACCCTGTTTGGCATAGGATTGGTTCCGGCGCTCTACTACATGATGAACATGAGGCAAACAGCCAAAGCCACCACGATGCTAGCAACCTCCTGCGCGCTGGCCATGACCATCAGCATGGTGCAAAATCTTGGCATCATCGGCTACATTTCCTTTTCCTGGCCGTCGGAGCTGCAGTGGGTGTTCGATCATATGAGCATCTTCACGCTCGACTTAGAGGCCATTGGCTTTGACTGTGTCTCGAGCTCACCGGTGTTCAGCTACATGATCACCTCCGCCGTGCTGCCTTGCTCTCTGCTCTGGCTCCTCATCTGCTCTTTCCTGAGCCGGTTGCTGCCCATGCGGTGGCGATTCGAGAGCAGCAAGCTCGTCTCTACCATGGCCCAGTTCATTCAGGTCTCCTTCACCATCTACAGCAAGGTGGCGCTGTCTCCCATGATGTGCTACACGCACCCGAACGGCCGAAGCAGCATGCTTGAGCACAACGGCATCTTCTGCTTTGAGAGTGAGGAGCACACACCTATGTTTCTTGTTGGGCTATTCCTGCTCGGCGGCATGATTCTTCGGGGTACTTGGAAACAATTTTTAGTTTTTTTGGTACTATATAGTTCCTAAGAAATAGCAAAAATTATCATTTTGCTGGGGTTCCGAGTTCAGTATAGGATTTGCTTCTACACCTTGGCCATTTGGGCGACCATCGTGGCGCCCAGAAAAGGCGCCTCGGGCAATGCCTGGTTTTTGGCCGCCACGCATTTCTTGCTCTTCCGCTTCCGCATGGACGTCTGGTGGTTCGGAACCTTTATGCTGCCTCGTGGCCTCCTCTTGTCGCTGGCCATCGTAGCTGCGGGCAGTGACAATCCCTATGTGCAGATGCTCCTCATAGTGTCCCAGGGACCCTCTTTACTTACAGTTTTATGGGTTCTACCTACTAATTAAGGGTAGTTACGACTAAATTGTAGGTAAATAGAGTCCCCCTAAACCCTAAACCCTAAACCCAGGTCCGTCCTGCTGGGGTACATGGTGGTGCAGCTCATTTGCTGGCCCTGGAAACTCCCCGGTCTCAATGCTTTCGACGCCATGATCAGCATCTTGGTCTCCCAGTGGTACCCTTTTTTTCACTTGTTTTTGATGGTTCTGGGGTTCCCTTATTAAACCCTAAACCCTAAACCCTAAACCCTAAACCCTAAACCCTAAACCCTAAACCCTAAACCCTAAACCCTAAACCCTAAACCCTAAACCCTAAACCCTAAACCCTAAAACCTACACCCTAAACCCTAAACCCTAAACCCTAAACCCTAAACCCTAAACCCTAAACCCTAAACCCTAAACCCTAAACCCTAAACCCTAAACCCTAAACCCAAGCCATCCCAGAAGAGGGTGGCCCTTACTACGATATGGTTCCTGGGCTGCCAAGGCATCGCGCTGATCCTGATGATGGCCATCCTGGCAGCCTTCGGCCCGGCTGTGAGCGATGACGTTCAGCGGAGGCTCCCTAAACCCTAAACCCTAAACCCTAAACCCTAAACCCTAAACCCTAAACCCTAAACCCTAAACCCTAAACCCTAAACCCTAAACCCTAAACCCTAAACCCTAAACCCTAAACCCTAAACCCTTTAACCCCTAACCCTTTAACCCTTAACGCTTAACGCTTAACCCTTAACCCTTAACCCTTTAACCCTTAACCCTTAACGCTTAACCCTTAACCCTTAACCCTTAACCCTTAACCCTTAACCCTTAACCCTTAACCCTTAACCCTTAACCCTTAACCCTTAACCCTTAACCCTTAACCCTAACCCTTTACCCTGAACCCTGAACCCTGAACCCTAGACCCTCAACCCTAAACCCTTAACCCTGAACCCTTGTAAACCCTAAACCAGCAGAGGCTGACGAATGCGGTTATCGGGATCATCTTCTTCCTCAACGACACATGGACATTTAACACATTTCCTTATTTGGGTTGAGAAGGGACCCTATATATATATATATATTTATTTATTTATTTATAGATTTTCAGAGGGTTTCAAGGCCAACCCAGTTCTCGTCCCCTTACAGGAGCTCTTTTCTCTTGCCGTACACTTTGCTAAAGGTTGAAAAAACCTTCAACCCTAAACCCTAAACCCTAATTCGGTTGTAGTTTGGAGTTCCTTAAGGCCATGGTGTTCGGAATGCTTTGTGTCACCGCCTCTATGCTGTTTCGTCAGAGCACGATGGGTGACTCGAAGGAGGGCATGCTACTGGCTCTAGGAAAGATTCCGCAACCAGACATGCTGAGCCAGAAGTTCACCATTCTTTACTCCAAGATCCAGGAGCTGGGCGAAGAGAACTTTGCCAAGGTGCTCGAAAATTTGTCCATCTACGACTTGCGCATGCTGGCACAGGTCATGACAGCCGTAGCATCCGAGGTGGGCGAGGCAAGGTTGATTCTGACGAGGCGTTCGCAGCTGATGTCTATGTCTCTAGGTAGGCCCTTTTGGGACATTTTGAGTTTCCCTTCTTGGGTTTCAGAGGATTATATTCAGGAATATTACCCTAAACCCTAAAACCTAATTTCAGGGCTTTCAGGGCCATCCTAGGTCAACCTCGTCATACTCGAAGAAGCCGGAGGGCTCGGAGAGAGCGGCTGCGAGAACGGAGGCAGAACCTAGGTGGGACTTTACTACAACTTTATCACTTTATAAGTTTAGGGTTCCTCGAATTTTACTACAACTTTTATCACTTTGTAAGTTTAGGGTTCCTCGAATTTTACTACAACTTTATCACTTTATAAGTTTAGGGTTCCTCGAATTTCATATTTCAGGGAGCTAAAAGTTAAAGTTTTATTGGGGGGGGTTAAAGAGCAACCAAGGAACTCCAACGGGAGAAGCCAGCCAAGAAGGCAAAAGAGAGCGAAGGGCAGAGGCCAGGACGGCAACGCCCGGACGCTGCTGCCCAAAAGGCCCAAAAGAATGTGTCTGAATGGCTGTAAGCCTCGTCAAATTCAGTTGGAGGTTTCCGAACAGTGGGGGAATTGCCTTTGTTAGCAAAGATCGTGTTTCGGGGTACATTCGGGGGGGCCCTAATTTTGGAAACTGCCCATTTTGTGCCCGAACGATGTGTTTGGCCGCCTCAGGCTGGATTTAATGGCTTTAGATCAAAGTTTTCGGTATTTCTGTTCATCATCAAATGGGAGTTTACGAAACTCAGGGACCCTAATATAGATCTTCAAATAGTAGGATTCCCGTATAATGAGAACCCCAATAAGGTACCCCTCATGTCGGAAACCCCCAAATTGGGAGTTGCTGTTTCTTTTTTGGTCCGAGCTTACGGACTGATGATGTGTGATCTTATCCGGGACGTTTGCCCTGCAGCGGGGCCCAGGTGCAGCACGTTCGTGTACCTCACTTCCAACCACAACATCCGTATGGTTTTGTTTCTCCGCAATCCCTTCGTAGTTGTCATGATTGGTGGCCAATTTTTGGTGCCACTTCAACGCATTCTGGAACTCAAGTTTCCAATGCCATGACGCGGCGTCGGGTTTGATGCACGGCCCACGCAGACGCCCCAGTCAGTGCATATGGGACATTGACGTTCGCGCGCCGTGCAGTTTTTTCGTCCTTTTGCAGGCGGTTGCTAGGCGGCAAGCAAGTGAGCGTACCGGACCTCGAAGGTTTGAGGGGCACCTGGCTAGGCCAAGCTGCCTGTATATGCATCGATTGTGCTTTCCGCAAGCATCAGACCAGACAGCGGCTAGACCCAGACACGCTGATTTTCCGGGTATAGTTTTAGATTCCGCGAAAGTGTACGCCTGAGACACATGAGTGCGGGCATAACACACGAGAGCTCCTGGCCAGAATCTTCCCTGCAAAGCAGGGAAGAGCCACTGAGGCGTCAGCTGGTTGGGATTCCCCAATACCCAAGTAGTTCAGGATGTCAAGAACAAGGATCATATCCTGCTGGGGCCTACACCCCTAAACCTGGCTACTTCGAGCCCTAGGGCCACATCTTCCTTGTAGCCAGGCAAAACACGTCGGCTGGGAGCATCGTGATGCCATATGCCGATGCTTTTTAACATGTATGTATAGAAGGCCGCCGACGCCGAGAGCCAGCGGTGACAGCGACGGAGGTAGCAAAGCAGCAACAAAAGCTTGCGCAAATTCGGGTGCTTACCAATCCCTAAACCCTAAACCCTGAACCCAAAAACTAAACCTCTTCGCTGCAGTCCATGAGAGGCAGCTAGGCGGGTGGCCAGGATCGATTGTTCTGCTTGTCGGTTTGGCTGTCGTGCTTCTGTTTGTCAGACGTGAGGGAGCGTCGCAAAACTCTAAGCCAAAATGAAAATGAGGGTTTAGGGTTTAGGGTCAGCAAGTCCAGCTTCAAAAGGGTTTAGGGTTCAGGGTTTAGGGTTAAATCATGTCGCTGTTTAAGGCTTGGTAATATAGGGACTTGCTGCAGCCAGATTCAAGTCGCACGGATCTTCGTCAAGACCTCGTGCAATAGAGTCGTCTTCCCCTCCATGACACAGTATACCATTAGGTCTCGAATAGTTGTCTACGAGGGGTCATAGTAATAACTGTGGGTCTATAGGAGGGCGACAACGGGGTTGCGACATGGCACTAAAAAGCGCCAGGGGGTTCCTTCATAACCACGAAATGCCTTGTCTATATCCCCCCCGCGAATTGTTGTTTTTGTTTATATAACACCCAAGAGGATATAAAACATATCAGTTGTATTAAGGTTCTAAGGGGAGTTTAGGTTAGTTGAGGTTGGATCTAAGTTTCATGAACGCTGTCCTGCCATCTTGCCAGGTCCCATCCCGGCGTTGCTCAAGGCTGGGCCCAGCAGTTCAACATCCGTAGCCGACACCTCAAACGTCACTCAGCTCCGGGGTTTAGGGTTTAGGGTTTAGGGTTTAGGGTTTAGGGTTTAGGGTTTAGGGTTTAGTGTTTAGGGTTTAGGGCCCAAGATGCCCCGGACAAACGGGTCACAAGGGAGGCGGACAAACAAGAGCTCCGGACTTGGGACGTCCGCGGCCATTGCTTTCGGGTACCTTATCCTGCCATTCATCCGAATTCCGGGTGTAGGGAAACAGGGTGGGTTTAGGGTTTAGGGTTTAGGGTTTAGGGTTTAGGGTTTAGGGTTTAGGGTTTAGGGTTTAGGGTTTCAGAAAGACGCTGTGGACGCTTGTTCGTCTTATACAAAACAAGCGTCCACAGTTTTTTGTTTGACCCCCCCCCCCAATCATTAATAATGACATTAATGCTGGGGGCCCTGCTAGCAAGAATAAGATTCCCCGAACCACTTCCCCCCCCCCCCCCCCCAATAATCAATATTATTAAGAGTGGGGGCGCTGCTAGCAAGAATAAGATTTCTGGGGCACTCCTGACACGAAATCCTCCGATCACCCCCCTCCCCCCCAATTGGTAAAGATATTCATAATCGGGGCCCTGCTCGTAAGAATAAGATTTTCCGGGGCGCTCCTGAAACGAAAGCTTGCGATTAGGGCCCCCATTATTAATATTATTAATGATAGGGGGCGGGGGGGGAACGCACAAGCGTCCACAGCGTCCCCCTCCCTAAGTCCTTTGCTCAAAAAGGGAAGAAGGCGGGTATCAGGGCGTGGCACACTGGGGACAAATTCGGCTTTTGCCTGGCTTTCCACATTCCAAGCCTGGAAGCACTAGGCCGCAGGGTTTAGGGTTTAGGGTTTAGGGTTGAGGGTTCACGGTATGTGTATGTATACATATGATATATCTACAAAAATATTACACATGTATGTACATATATGTATATAGTACAGATGCTCTTTCTCTCTCTCTCTCTATCTATACATATATATATATATATGTACCGAGCGGAGTGTTGTATGATTCTGATGTAGACGCATGCCGAACCCATCTTGGCCATAGTTGCCACAGGTCCCCCTGGGGCCTTAACAAATCACAGAAAACACAGGGGAAAAAATAAAAAAAAACACCCCAGGCTGCTTCATTTTATATTCCTTAATTCCGTAGTTAAATATTCTTGTGCTCTTATGTTATTTGCTGATGTGTTCTGCTTAGTGGCTCACAGTACGTCGAGACACACAAATTTGAGACTGAGAACTTGGACTCCCAAAAGCAGCTGAACTTCCCAAAAGCTCTCAACTTGGGTTCAAGTGTACTTATAGCCTATTTAGAGGACTTAGGGGACTTGTAAGAACAGTTATAAATGGGGTTATAAGAACCCTCGTGTCACTAAGCAAGATGCCCGAATCACATTCACATGCATCTCGGGCACTTCATCAACGACAGTTATTCCGGCATTCCGTTTCTGCACCCACTAAGCACTATGATCCTGCCTGGGCCATGATCGGGTTTGTAGCTTTCCCTTGCAGCTTAGGGTTTGGGGAAAAAAGGGCTTTCGGTTGAAACCCTCAATCCTGAACCCTCAACACTCAACCCTCAACCCTAAACCCTAAACCCTGGCAAACAAAACAACTCTAAACCCTAAACTCTCCGGCAAAAAAGGGGCTTCCGGGTGTGGTGGCAGGATGTCGTGCGGGACATGGACAAGCTCACTGCCATGTGGCAGGCGCTCGAGTTGGAGGTGGGAATCTGATCCCCTAAGCCCTAAACCCTAAACCCTATACCCTATACCCTATACCCTATAAACCCAAAACCAAGCGTGGTGGGGCTAGATTTCAGGGACTAGGGTTCAGCAGGAAGGGCGGAATTGCAGCACGGCCTGTTCAAAAATGTTAAGGGTTCCTGTTATAGTCTTCATGGCTTCGGGTTTTTCATATCCCCAAACCTTAAACCCTAACCCCAAACCTTAAACCCTAAACCCTAAACCCTCAAGCAGCGCCTTCCTGCCCTTGGCCCCGCGGGTGAAGCACCGGTTTCCTCTGCAGCGAAATCTCATGTTCAGGGTTGTGTTTTAGGGTTTCGCGGTTTGGGGTTGGGATCTGCCAGAGGGGCGAGCTTTGTTGTTGTCAGCAAGCTCGATGAAAACCGAAGGTTGGGGGGCTGTTTAGGGTCCAGGGCCCAGCATCCTTGCAGTACAGTTCTTTTTAAGCAAGCACGAGGGGCATCGCTTGTTCGTTTCTTTGGCGCTGGCAACTTCACCAAGGAATGGGGTCCATTGAAGGGGGGTATCTAAAGGAGGTCCTTGTAAGAACTTCTTTACGTTCCCATTGTGCTTTGTAAGGGAAGAATGGGCTTCTTGGGGGAACAGTTGTTTTGATCAACTACCAGATGCATCTCTCCGCATATGTGTGTATGATGTAGATCATCTGTTATAAATATAAAGCACGGCGCAGCCATCGGATCTCCTACCCGAACCCTTATCCGCAAGGATACGGCATCCTTCGTGGGGTGAGGTCTTCCGATGTGTCGCAATTGGTGGGTCCGTTCGAGATTCAGGGGAAAAGTCTTGGAAGCAATCTTCCCCCTAGTCCGAAGCCTACAATACGAGAACACAACCCCCTGCAATAACACTCGGATCTTGTCATGAAGCTATGTCACACACAAGTGGGCTCTTGCAAATGAACCACGTTACAAGTAACGAAGTTGCCTAACAACGATACTATATTCTCGACTTGCGTCACGAGGGGTTCGGCCAAACACTCATTTCAGATCAGGAAGGGAAGTAATGGTTTGGGAAGACACTCTATAGACCGACCAGCAGAGCGGCTCGTGCTTGGCGGGGTAGCAAAGAATGCCCTACCTAAGCTCTATACTCTCTAGACCCTAGACTTGCTAAACCCTAAACCCTAAACCCTAAACCCTGGTAACCAAAGAAAAAGCCCTTAGACTGCTGGGGGAGGCCATGCCAAAGGGGCTTCACCAGGCCGGTCCAGGGTTTGTCGGTGCTTAGGGGTTAGGGTTTCGGGTTTCGGGTTTAGCCGTGGTTCATAAAACGCCCGAATACGAGTTAGTAAGGATCCATGTTATAATAGCCCAATATCCCTTCATTAAGGAATCTATTCGCCAAGTCGTCATCGTAGGCACCTTGAGAGAATTTTCGGGACGGGTTTGAGAATGCCGCACAGAGCCTTTGGGGTGCATAGGGCTCTCCAGGGCCCAGACCAGGTTTTTCCAAGGGCCTGTAAGTTTTGCAGAAGCCACAATGCCCCAAAACCCAGTGGCCACTCGAACTTTGCAAGGAGCTCTTCCACTTGAGGGTCTTGGTGGTTCATGGTCGCCAGTGCAGTTTGCAGAATGGCGAATGGTTTTGTGCACACTCGGTTCCGGCAAGCAAGCGCCCAAAGTGTTCGACAGCTTGTCTCTCCCAACCTGCCGGGGTCGAGTTTAAGTTTAGCTGTGGGTTCCCCTGCAAAACCCTAAACCCCTAGTCCCACCCTAAACCCTAAACCCTAAGCCTAAACCTTTCCAAGGCCGCGAGTGGGAGTCGGGAGGTGAGGGTCTTTTGTTAAGGGTTCAGGGTTCGGGGTTCAGGGTTTAGGGTTTAGGGCTTAGGGTTTAGGGTTTAGGGTTTAGGGTTTAGGGCTTAGGGTTTAGGGTTTAGGGTTTAGAGAGCTCGAGGAGGCCTCCCAGGTTCTTCTGGATGGTGCTACATGCTACCTGGTGACGCTCAACAAAACACTTGTTGCTACTGCAAGGACCTTCCACTTGAAGATCCGAGCTCTGTTAAGGGTTTAGGGTTTAGGGTTTAGGGTTTAGGGTTTAGGGAAACTAGACGTTGTCCAGGTTCATTCGACAAAGTGCCGCAGGTGAAGTGTAGAGCTGTGAACGGGCGGTCGACATGTGCGCGCCCGGCCCAACAGTGTAGCAGAGCCGGCATTTTCGGAGCCAGACTTCCTAAACTTGTGAATTCCCCCCCGCCCGCCCTCGTTCTCCTGGGTTTTGCGCCCGAAACCCTAAATCCTAAACCCTAAACCCTAAACCCTAAACCCTAGGCCCCCTTGCGCTGAAGGCGATCATGTCCGGCATCAAAGAGCTTGTAGAGGCTTGTCTGTCAGCCCCACACCCAGCAGGAGGCAGTTTTCATGAGGATTCGCAGGGTTTGGGCTCTGTGTGCTTAGGGATGCCCTAAACCCTGAACCCTAAACCCTAAACCCTAAACCGATGCTCAGGGTTTAGGGCAGTTTCGTGTCGAAGGTTGTTCAGAATGCCTGAATGGGGCTGAGAGGGTCTGGGACTAGGATTTCCGGCGCATGTGAGAACAGCCAGCCATCATAACCCTAAACCCTAGACCCCCTCTCCGAGTGCCTAGGGACCCTTGCCCAGGTGTGTGTTGACAAGGAGAGTGTCATCGGAAGAGTCCGGGATGACAGAGGTGGCCGGGTTTAGGGTAGTTTAGGGTTTAGGGTGGTTTAGGGTTTAGGGTTTCGGGGCATCAGTCCTCTTTGTGCGCAGGTGGGAATTCCATCCACCTCGCTGCAATCCACGGGCACTGGCAGGTCATCCAGGCCACCTCCATCCCCTAAACTTTGGGTATATTGGTATAATGGGGAGAAAGTAGTGCCCTGCTCTTTTTATTGCGTAGGGGTTATTACGGAAACTTTCTGCTGCATGAGCCAACCCTAGCTGACCTATGTAGCCCTAAACCGCAAACTCTGCTCGTTGGGCTATAGGGTTTAAGGCTTATCAGGTCTAGGGACATTATAAGGACCATTTAGCAACGCTTAGGGCTTGGGGCCTGTTAGGGTTCTCCTGGAAACAATAGAGTGCTGAGAGCTGCGGGCCTCGTTCCAAAACAAGACTTCGCAAGCTTGTAGGAAAATAAGGTTTTGGGTGCTGAAGAACACGTCGTAGCTGAATGAGTACACTTTACACTTCTTGGAATACTATCATCCCCTATAGAACTGAAAGTGTACACTTTTCGGGGCTTAAAGAATAGGGTGTAGGGTTTGGGGTTTAGGGTTTAGGGATGCTCAGAGCCTGGGTTCAAAAAGGGTTTAGGGTTGAGGGCTTAGGGTTTAGAACATGAAGGCCCGGATGCCACCAAGAGAGGTCTCAGAATGCAGTTGCCTGATTGCGGCGGCAAGTATTTCTAAGAACATGGCTAGGAGGGCTCGAACCTTCAAGCTCTCTTCAAAAGTACCCTAAACCCTAAAGGGTGGCAGGCCAAGATGTTGAGCACTCAGCAGGGTTTAGGGAGGCCTTAGGATTTTGAATGCGAGTCTTCTAAGACTAGGACCCAGAGTAGATCATTATTTTATTTTTTGTTTTTAGGGTTTAGGTGTCCTTGCAAGCCTCTTTAAACCAAAAAGGGCATCCTTTTGTATTCCTAGGTTAACTTGGTTCTAGAAGAAATAGTCACAGCTAAGAGGTCCATTTGCTTAAAATCGGCACCGAAGACTCATTGAACTCATATTCAGCCTAATTTCTTTCGATAGATGATTACGTTTAAGTTACCAAGACTCATGTTTTCGGAGAACGGTACAGCCAGGTACAGTAAACGAGTTTGTCAACGTGACGGCGATATAGAGCACCTCATGCTCACAAGGTGCTGTTGGAAAATGGCGGCGACGTCCATGGCGTCAACGACCACCAGTTTCTTAGCAGCCCTAGCGTTAAGCCATCACAGACTACCCAACTCGCGAAGTTCCATCAAAGTTGGAGGCTGCAGAGCAAGGCCACGCACTAGTCGAGGCATCCAACATGTGCAAGGATTTTTCGGGTTCAGGGTTTGGGGTTTGGGGCTTAGGGTTTTTGCGTTCATTGCGTGATGTGACATCTGAGAAGTTGCATGTGTGCCGGCAGCCTCAGAGTCCGTTGCTTAAAAAGCGTTTGGGGTTTATAGGGTTTAAGGTTTATATCTATATATATATATACCATGTATATATATATATACATATATATATAGGGTTTAGGGTTTCGGGTTCAGGGTTTAATTAGTGTTTAGGGGGCAGTTTCCAGGTTCAAAAGGGTTTGTAGCCACTGAGGCAGTCGGCCCTGGATGTGGCCATCGCGCGGCACTCGGGCCATGTCCGTGCAAGTTCTGTTAGGGCTTAGGGCTTTAGGGTTTAGGGTTGAGGGTTCAGGGTTCATCATCTCAAGTCCAAGCATTCACTAGTCAAGTATTTACTTCAGAAAATTACCCACCCGCCCAAAGAATCCCATAACATTAAGATATTATTTCACGAATAGAACGACCTTGCCGAGAAAAAAACCGACCTTGCCCAGTAATAAAATGACCTTGCCCAGTAAAAAATGACCTTGCCCAGAAAAATTGACCTTGCCCAGTAAAAGAAAATGACCTTGCCCAGTAAAAAACATGACCTTTGCCCAGTTACAAAAAATGACCTTGCCCAGTAAAACAAATGACCTTGCCCAGTCAAAACCTGACCTTGCCCAGTAACTCCCCAACATTTAAATTATATGTATATATATATATATGTATGAAAGAGAGGTTTAGGGTTGAGGGGCTTCAATTGCAGGTACGTAAGCGCGGAGCATTTGGGGGATTCAGGGACATCTAATGGGAGAGCCCAGACCAAGACCTGGTGTTTTGCGATCCTCAACCCTTACGGCATTCTCCTGGGGACATCTTTGCGGAATCGATACCCCCCAACGCCCCCTTGATTCTCGTTTATCGGGATGAACTTCGTGAAGACACCCCAACGAGGCATCCCTTGATTGTATTCTTAGTTTCCTGGCTGAAGCCCGCAAAAATGCAGCGGCTGGCGCACCTCTCGGGTGCAGGAAACCCTCCATAAGCTGGGTGATTACGATCACCAAGTCGAGGCGGCGCGTGCATAGGTATGGGTTCAGATGCGCAGGGTCCAGGGTGCAGGAGTTGTGTTTGGGGGTTGTGCGTGGGGCTGTGATGAGTTTTTGTGTCTATGCCAAACTTTAAGAGTGCAGTGATTGGGAAGGGTGTGGGGGCACGGTTTTGGCTGCTAAGGGGTTTCGGAGTTCAGTCCTTCGGGAGTGTCGCTTTGCAGAGGTTGAGCCGGGGCCGTCTCTCAACCCTAAACCCGAAACCCCATAGACCCTAACTTAAACCCCAAACCAAACCTCCATTCCTCCCGGAAAGTAAGGACCAGAGAGTGAGAGAGAGGTTGAGGGGGAGGGAGTCGACTTCGGCCGGGGCTTGGCCAAACCCTAAACCCAATAATCACAGTAGTAGTAGTAGTAGTAGTAGTAGTAGTAGCAGCAGTAGCAGTAGTCGTAGCAGTAGCAGTAGCAGTAGCAGTAGCAGTAGCAGTAGTAGCAGCAAGATCAGGCCTTTGGGGCAAGTTGCTCCCATGTCTGCTCCATAGTGAAAGGATGGGTGCTCCGTACATTCGGGTTTAGGGTTTAGGGTTTATGGTATAGGGTTACGCAGTAGCTTGTTAACGAAAACCAGGATGGGCTCTTCGACCCTTTAACCCCATTCAAGGCCCTTTATAGGGCTGATTATGGGGATTATCAGGCCTAATAGTCCATCCTGGAATTGTCAATTCTCAAGCTGATTTTGTTGAAATTTTGAATCCCCACATCTCTGGACCATCCCGCCCTTAGACTCCCTAGCAGCAAGCACCTAAAGCCGAAATCACTCCACCACGAAATCCCCTGAGAATCCTTCAGAGCCATCCCTCAACCCCCTGTAGAACCCTACCAAGCCCTACAAGCCCCCATAAAGCCCCAGAAGCCCAGGAGTCATGAAAATCCTACAGCCCCTACCCTGAACCCTAAACCCTAAACCCTAAACCCTCTGCTCAGTTGAGCCGACGGCTTCAAGAGACCATCGACCTGCTGGACGAGGAGCTCCACGTCATCAGCTACGAGTACGTGACTTTTCTGCACTAACCTATGGCCCCCTTAGGGTTTAGGGTAGCCCAAGAAAACATATATGAGAAACGATATCTTCATTAAGGCTTCGGGTTTCGAGTGTACGGGGGGTTTCGTGATGGGTTGGGCGTTTTGCGACTTATGCCTCTGATTTCTTGAGGCTACAGGCCCCGCCTCCCGGCGCCATGAAGACTTGCTGGAACGACGTGGCGATTGAGCCCCCCAAAACCCCCACTGTATACCCTACAAACCCTATTTATCCCTAAACCCTAAACCCTACGGACCCTGGCTGTTCTTGCGGCTCGTGGGATCCTGACAGTTGGTCAAGGCTGAAATCAGGTAACGTACAAGAAGCCGTCCAGGCGCGAAAGCCTGAATGATCAACAGTAGTAGTAGATACTGGTCGGAATCATATCTAATATTGTTCGCTTATAGGTACCTTTATAATTATACCCTTTTGTATCCTCCCTTACATGTTCACTCGCACAAGACTCATTGCAATACAGACCACTCAAAATTCAAAAATACCCATTGCAGGCTAAGTAGGCCCGCCCCTGTGCCCCTGTATGGATGGCAGTGGCAGCCAATGTACCTTGTTTAATGTTCCCTAAACCCTAAACCCTAAACCTCGCCCGCTTGTTCCAGTGTGAGAGTCGAAACCCTAAACCCTAGACCCTAAACCCTAAACCCTAAAAACAATCACAACCAGAACGAATGTTAATCCTCTGAAGCACCTCCAGGCTTTCCAGCTACCTGGGACCTCTTTAGCTACAGTTTTTTGGGTTATGCCGATGAAATAAGGGTAGTTTGGGGTTTAGGGTTTAGGGTTTAGAAAAATTGAGTCCCAAGTGGACACACGCAGCTGAGGTGAAGTACGAAAAGAAGAAGTCCTGGTGGAAGCGGCCTGAGACCATGCTCAAGTGGCTGCGCTTGAAGAACTTGCCTGGTGCTCAGCTGTGAAGCCTAGGCTCGAACCAAACTTGCCTGGTGCTGCTTGAGGGTCGAACCCTAAACCCTAAACCCTGGTTCCTCGAGCACCAAGTGACAGGTAAGTCAATAGTCATGCACGAACTTGGTGAGTAAGTGTCGGGCGTGCCATGGGCCTGTCAATCGATGTCCTACAACCATGTCGCAGCCCGCAGGGCTTTTGTGCAGCATTGCCGGTATTACTACTATTTGCTCCCCAAAAGAATAAACACATAATAATCCCCATATTGCCCTTAACAAGGAAGACTGTTTTCTTTTTTTTTTTTTTTTTTGGGGGGGGGGGGGGTTCTTAAGCAAATAGTAGTAACCCTAAACCCTAAACCCTTTATGCAGGTTAGAGTACCACTTCGACAATCTCAAGCGCGCCTTTGTGGAGATTGACACCAATCACTCCGGTGGCATCGTACACCTGGCAGGGTTTAGGGTTTAGGGTTTAGGTTTTAAGGTTTTAAGGTTTAGGGTTTAGGGACTCCGCCAATTGCAGCAACGTTGTCAGATAGCTGGGAGGGATTCTTCTGCATTTGCCAGTGGTTTGCAAGGCTTCTCTTGGGATCCAGGTTGCAACTACCCGGTGTGCAGATTATCGTATCTTCGCAATCAGCTGACCCAAAAACCCTTCAGCGGGGTATATGACCCTCCAGTTGAAAGGTTCGAAATCCCACATCACTCGTATGCCGGCAGCTGCACCAAACAGTCGACCGAGGAGGAGACAGAATGGGTGGAGCTCGGGCTTCTAGAGTTTAGGGTGTAGGGTTTAGGGGGTAGGGGTTTAGGGGTTCAGGGGTTTAGGGGCTGCTTGTCATGGCTTTGCCAGTATGAAACCTGTCCTCACAGGTTTGAGATGGGGTGAGCCTGATCTTGCTGTGCACTTGGTCAATAAGTACATGGGTTCCAGATGGTTCTGGATGGCTCCCCTCATGATCCCCTCGATGAACCATGTTCAGGAACTCTTGGTGCTGCAGGTCACTTTGTTGCTTGCTGTGTTGCGCTTGTTCGTGCCCGCGTCCGTGAAGGATGAGGTGGCGCATGCCCTGCAGAGAGTGCGGAGACGCATTGTGCATCTCCTGCTGGCGCATAAAATTCAGTGTGCCTGGCCGACTATCTGGAGGCTTCGCTTTTGGGGCTATGTGGGGCACCTCTTCAGGAAGCCCGAAACCCATGTCACCCGCAGAATTCTGCTGTCCTTTGAGTACAAGAGCAGACCTCAAGGAGGTTACCCAAACACACCCTTGAAGTGGATCCAACAGGCAGCTCGGTCAGCGTATGATGCAGCACATATGACTACCATGGACGTAGTGGCAGCGGCTGACCGAGTCCAGTGGAAGGCCAGGGGTAGTCGATACTTCCACGAGGTGGCCAGGGCGGAAGCCCATGCTTTTGCACATGCAGATGTGTGGCCCCACTGGAAGTATAGTCTGCTGCAGAGTGTGCCCTGGCTTTTCTCGTGCACCGTCATGGCTGTTGCTGGGGTTGACTTACGGTTTGCTTGGATTGATCCTGAGGAAGGGGTTAGTAGGTTGTCTGTGTCTGCTGAGAGGTTGCTGCCCGAAAGTCAGAACCTGCTCGGCCTTTGCAGAATGCAGTATGGTTTTTTGGCTGTCATGCTGTCCATGAGTCAGGCGGTGTGGGAAACCCATATTCACGCTTGGCATGCTCTTCATGCTTCCATGTTTGTAACCTTTCGAGTCATCTTCATGGTGGATGTTATTTCGGATGGGCGCGTGCGAGACATTAGTTCTTGCGCGGGTGAGTGACAGCCAGTCAATGCTGTAACTTGCCTTCGCCTCGGTGTCCCAGTGTCTTAGTTGGTGAGACTTGCCCGGCAGTATTCGAAGAGGCCTGGATGCAAAAGGGGTTTAGGGGTTTAGGGTTCAGGGTTTAGGGATTCGGCGTATGTACACGCCCTCCCCAAACTTTCGAAAACCGAAGCCTGCGAACGCGGCCCTGGAGACCTCCCACTATTTTTGTTGGCGAAGGGAAGCCTCAAACACCATTAAAGAAGCAACCCTTAACTCTGGAAGGCAACAAAGAAAACCTCAGACCAAGAAAACCCTGGGTCATGATGATGACAATCATGACGATCATGCCGATTCTGATTCGTATTGTTGCCCCTGTTTACACTGAAGAATTACCGTTGTTTCTTTCTTATCATGATTTCCATCACTATTATGACTTCCATTGTGTGGCGAGCGGGTATTGCCCTTTACCTGCCAAAGTCTCTGGGATTCAACGTTTTGGTCCCCCAACCCTAAACCCTAAACCCTGAAACCTAAAGCCTAAAGCATAAAACCCTAAACCCTAAACCCCCAACCCTAAACCCTGAACCCTTAACCCCCCAAGAGCAGACCCTCCGCCTCGCGCACCGATCAGCCAGGTGAAATACGAGTGGGAGGCCTGGGCCCCTAGAAGCTTGTCCAGGGTTCAGGGTTCAGGGTTTAGGGTTTAGGGTTTAGGGTTTAGGGTTTAGGGTTCAGGGTTTACGGTTTAGGGTTTAGGGTTTAGGGTCCAGGATCCAGACAGGCGGTTCTGAAGTTTCCGCCCAAATTCCTGCAAGATGCCTTTGGTAGCAGCTCTTGGGGCCATTGCAAAGTTCAGGGTCAGTTTCCTAAATGGGTGGTTTCCTGAATTAGGGGGCCCCTTGCTGTTGGGTACCCATTATAAGGCGGCACCCGTTAAAACGGGATCCCTAAACCCGAAACCCTAAACCCTTAACCCTAATTTAGAGAACTACCCATCTCACAGTCCCTTGCTGTACTTATAGACCCTGAACCCCGAAGCCTTGAGCTGCTCCCCCCGAGTGGGGTAAAGCTTCTGTGTGGACGTGCGCTGTGCCCTAAACCCTAAACTCTAAACCCTAAACCCTAAACCCTGAACCCTGAACCCTGAACCCTGAACCCTAAAAACCCTGAACCCTAAACCCTATAAACCCTAACCCTTGGAACCCTTACATGGCCTTCTGGATCCTTGTGACGATGAACAAACCATGAACCACCCGGAAACTTTGCTTTCGCTCCAGAGCCCTGGAACCCCCTACGCAGCCTTTAAAATCCTTGTGACCACTGCACCATTCTAAGACCCTAAACCCTAAACCCTAAACCCTTCGATAACGCTCGGAACCCGAGTTTGAGACGCTGAGGCCATGTTTGGTGCTGAGGGCCAGGTGGAGGAGGTGACCCGGCTTGATGCCTTCGAAGAACTCGGAGCTGCGCAGCGCGTTTTTCGTGGGCGTTTCGGGCTTGGGGTTGAAGAAGGGTTCTCATAGGGTTGAGGCTTACATAGGTTTTGGGTTTAGGGGGCTAGAGTTGAGAGCAGGCCACGAGGAAGAGAGAGAGAGAGAGAGATAGCCAAGGAAGTAGCCAAAAGCAAACAAGCACGACCGAAGAGGAACGAAAGGAAGCGGGAATTCTGTTCGCCGCGTTTCTGGCATATGTGTTTTGGCATACTTCGCCCAAAGGAGCTTTGTCAGCTCATGTGGGATGCACCTGTAAACTGCCAAGACGATTTCGGAAAACTCGGGGCCCAGTGGCTCGGCCCTGATCTCATAAAGCCCTTCATCCGAAACAGCACTTGTTTCGAGGCTGGCGAGAAGGGTTCGGGCTTACGGCTGAGATCCGAACTTGGGAAGGTTAGGGTTTAGGGTTTAGGGTTTAGGGTTTAGGGTTTAGGGTTTAGGGTTTAGGGTTTAGGGTTTAGGGTTTAGGGTTTAGGGTTTAGGGTTCAGGGTTTAGGGTTTAGGGTTTAGGGTCTAGAGGGTGTCCTAGCTGCAGGCACTGGTGGCGGCTGACTTGGAGTCGAACGAGGTCTTCGGAATGCTGGGGCGCCCAAAAAAGGGGTTTGGGTTGGTTTAGGAATCTTAGGGTTTAGGGTTTAGGGTTTAGGGTTTAGGGTTTAGGGTTAGCAGCTGAGTGAGTACACTTTACACTTTTTGGGACCCTGAATTTTGGTTTAGGGGCTTTGGGGGCCGACTACACCCTAGAACACCAGAACTGATGCTTTTGCAGGCTCAGGTTCTTCTTCTTGCGAGAAAATGTTGATACGTGTGTGTGTGTGTGAGTGAATGATGTTTGTCTTTCTTGGCTTTTTTGTGTTTGATTTATACTATTCCTTGTTGTGTGTTTGCTGCTTCCTTTTCCTCTTCCTATCGTTCCTTCTTCTTAGAGCTTCTTTTTGCCCAGCGCCTTCTCTGTTGTTGGGTGGGCTGGCTTAGGATGTTCCCCCTTATACTAACGGTCCTTCATCGGGATTATAAGATACTTTAATCCCTTTTTTTAGGGACTGTTAGTATCAGGGGGGCATCCCAAGGGCTGGCCCAAGCTGCTCTTGAGCCAGCAGCAACGATTGGGATCTTCGTGCTGCTGGTCATGAAAAGCCGAAAGCAGTCTTAGACACAGCCCTAGGCTCTGAACTACAGAGACAAGGAACCCGGCAAAAGTCCTCAGAACGTTGGCAATCCTTTGATGAATTTAGAACCCCAACAGTAGACTGTTTGGGGAACTAGCCCAAAACCCAACAAGAATCTCAGGGCGCAACGCCCTACACCTACACCTGAAACCCAAAGAACGCAGAAACCGATGCCTTAAAGCATTTATGAAAAGGGAAGTAGGGAGCTGAGGTACCCCATAAACCCCCTTGAAGGCCTTAAAAATGAAACTATTTTCCATACCAGGCCCCGTGCCCCTCAAAGAAGCCGCCGCCACACCGAGGTTGGACGGCATCGATGTAGAGGGCAAGGCAGCCGCGTCGGTTGAGCCCTTTTTGTGGTAGTCCTATTTTTGCACGTTGATGGGGAGCTGAAACGGCGAGATCCTCCGGATGCATACCAGTTGGCAGTTTGGTGCACCAAGCCAAGAAGCACAATTGGGCCTCGCGCGCCTAGGGCAGTCTTTGCGACACTGCAGCTTGGGTGCACCATGGGGTAGGGGGGAGGATGATGAATTTAACAACAAGCCTTGGAAATTTCAACCTTGCACCGCAAACTCATGCCTGACTTCCCATTCGAGCCCTGAAGGATATGGTCATCACCAAATCAGCATTCGAGTTGCTTGACTTGCTCGATGCTTGGCTGGTATTTGTTTTACAACAGTAAACCCTAAACCCTAAACCCTAAACCCTAAACCCTAAACCCCCCAACCATGCAGCAGAAACCCCCCAACCATGGCTGCCGTCGGTCAATTTTGGGGGCTGTGCTCTGGTGGAATTCGGGGGAAGTTTGCCCCAAATTCTGGGCCTTCTTGGTCTTCTGATTTTTGTTGCGTTCCCTTGAGTTAAACGGCCCAGAATCCCCGAAACCCTAAACCCCTAAACCCTAAACCCGCGGTGTTACATGGCGAGACTCTGGTTTCAAGACCTGCGCTTCCAAGCCGAAACCCCACACCTGGTGCAGGGCTCACCCTCTGATCTACTAGATTCCCAGCACCGCTCTTGCCGAAACCCTAAACACTAAACCCTAAACCCTACGAAGAAGCAACCAGAAGAAGCAACACCCAGCCGAGGATTGGCACTTCTAAACCCTAAACCCTAAACCCTAAACCCTAAACCCTAAACCCTAAACCCTAAACCCTAAACCCTAAACCCTAAACCTCTATCCCGAGGATTGGCACTTGACGTCGAAGATTTGGCAGGACCTCCTCCTCAAGCCGCTGACGGTCGGCGGCTTCGGAGTGCTTTTTTGGGGGTTTAGGGTTTAGGGTTTAGGGCGTGCCAGACGGGAGCGCGCTTTGGGAGCGCGCGGTAGTCTGCAGACCTACCCACCCCAAGACCGCCCACTTACAACTCTCAAGGAGTTAAGACCTTTTATTTTTTTTACAAAGCATCACATGAGTCAGCACTCACGCCCTTTCTGGGGATTTGCACAAGGTGCGTGGACCAGGCGCAAAGCTGCAGCAGACGGAAACGAGGCAGGGTCCGTGAAGACAGCTTGGGCTGGCGCGAAGGGGCTAAGGGATGGGCCAGGAACAGAGAAAGGCAGCGATGGCGCGAAGGGCTCCAGCCAGGAAGAACACACAGTGAACAGCTTGGGTTGGGCAGAGCGCCACGGAAGCAGGGCTGGAGCCAGAGGGAGAGCGCCCCGAAACAGGACACAAACTGGTGCGCGGACAGCTTGGCTTGGCGCAAGGGGGTAAGATGACTCGAACAGGCCAGAGGCCAGGGCCAGAGCCGCAAAACTGGCGCACGGTCAGGAGGATCAGGGTCAGGCCAGGGCCAGGGCCAGTGCCAGGGGTCAGGGTCAGGCAGAATCAGGGCCAAAGAGCGCAGAGCCAGGATCGGGGTAGGGACCGAGGTCAGGGCCAGGCCAGGGCCAGGCAGGGCCAAGGAGACCAGGAGGCCAGGGCCAGGGCCAGGGCCAGGGCCAGAGGGCAGGGCCAGCCAAGGGCCAGGGCCAGGGCCAGGGTCAGGGTCAGGGCCAGACCCAGGGCCAGGCCGGGTCAGGGCCGATTTCAGGGTGGGCCAGGGCCAGGTTAGGGCCAGGCCAGGCCAGGGCCAGGGCCAGGGCCAGGGCCAGGGCCAGGGCCAGGGCCAGGGCCAGGGCCAGGGCCAGGGCCAGGGCCAGGCGCCAGGGCCAGATGGGTCCCTAAGGGAAGGGGCCGTCCCAGGGGGCCCTCCAATGCAGGACCCAACCAGGTGCGCGGACAGCTTGGGGTTCAGGGTAATATAATATAATACAGTGACAACTGCTGACTCGGCCTGTGCCTGCCTGGAGGGTAGCCAGCCTGGAGGCCAGCTCGGTCGCCCGCCTGGGGCTCCCTCGCAGGGTCTCACTGAGCGCTCGACCAGCGCCCGCCTACCCCAAAAGACAAGAGAGTGGGGTGGCGGGCGGGTTTAGGGTTTAGGGTTTAGCGTTTAGGGTTTAGGGTTTAGGGTTTAGCAAGAAGGGTTTAGGGTTTAGGTACTGTTGTAAAACAAATAGCCCAGGGTTTCGTGTTGAGAAGAATGCTTCAGTTCGTAGGGGCTACATGCGGCAGCGAATGGGCCCTGCCGATGGGGCTGTCCATTGTTGCTTGGAAGTGGGCAGCTTCACAATACCAATGGTCAAGGGGTGGCCCTTCACAGTACGACGATCTTTTTATTGAATGATGAAATACATTCCTTATATGTCTGAGTGTGAGGTCGAGACACAACTTTGAAGACCCCACAAAACTGCTCACAACTTTGAAGACCCCACACACGCACACTGGTTTAATTCTTCCTCTTCCCCCCCCCATCCTCACCAAAAAAGGGCCCCAACCCCCCCAAAGAGAGAGCGCGGTTTTGTTTAGTTCGAAGCGAATCATCAGAACCACATTCCAGTGGGCCATAGTGGGCCTATTTGCAAACAGACCTAGAAATCTAACACCTCGAGGGTTTTGGGTCTTACAAGGTTGTGGTTCTGAGACGAAGGCTTGGTGATCGATTCAGGCTGTATGCAAGAGGCCTGGTGATCTCACCGCTGCATTGCTTTCCCTCGTACTTACAGGTGCACCATGTATGTGCACAGTTGTGCAAATGTAAACTGTTATATGCAGCCCGCATGCATATATACACGTGTGTATGCCAGGTCGCACGTAAGCTGTAATGTGCTGTAGTGCAATATACGTTGCATGGCGTTAATGCATTTGTTCTTGCATGATTGTCGTTTGTTCTGCACTATGTATGTAACACATGCATGCATGGAAGTAGGTAATCTGTGTGTGTGTGTGCACACACCTGTGAACAAGATGTCCTCCTACCTCATGGTAGTAGCTGGTAGCTGCTGCAATCTCAGAGTCCTAAACCCTAAACCCTCCTAAACCCTAAACCCTAAACCCTAAACCCTAAACCCTAAACCCTAAACCCTAACCCCTAACCCCTAAACCCTAAGCCCTAAACCCTAAGCAGGTCAAGCAGCATCATGCAGCTCGTCAACGAGCCATTGCGAGTACCACACCCTTTTAGCTGGCGGAAGCCCACAAGCTGGCCAGAAAGGGAAGAAGACAACTTGCCCGCTAGGGTTTAGGGTTTAGGGCCAGTTTAGGGTTCAGGGTTTAGGGTTTAGGGTTTAGGGCCAGTTTAGGGTTTAGGGTTCAGGGTTCAGGGTTTAGGGTTTAGGGGGTAGGGCTTGCATGGATTCTTGGATTCTGGCTAGCCTTTCAGTCCAGTGGCAAAAGGGGGTAGGGCTTGCTTCAAGAGCTGCGGAGAGAGCAAGGACGTTCCGAACTACGTTTGGAGAGTTACATCTGTACTTACAAACTGTACTCATAACCATATTGGGGCCTTTAGGGGCTTATAAGTGGGACATAAGTACAGTTGTACTTGGTTAGTAAGTACCATGAACCTCCAAGTAGGGAATTGCGTGTCACACATCGCAGCATCTGACGGTTCCACGGAGGCTCGGGTCCCTGGGCACCGGCCCCCAGCCGGAACCCCACACATCTTCCACCTCAAGCCGTAAGCCCTTGAAGCCTCAAGCCCTCAAGCCATCAAATCACAGTCACGTATTGTAGCATTCATTATATGTTGTGAGCATATAAGATAAAGTATATAATGACAACTTCCATAATTTCCCTCATCCCGCATCCAGCGACAACTCGCAACTCCCTCTGCTGGCCATGGGGAAGCGCCGCGGGGAGGTCACGAGGTCGCCCGGCTTTCGGAGCGCTGAGGGTTTAAGGGTTCAGGGTTTATGGTTTGCCGGGTTTTTGGGGTTAGGTACCCTGTTTTTAGGGGGTTTTAGGGGCTATAGGGGTTTCAGGGCTTCCTTGGTAGCCCAGTGGTGCCCTTTCCCCTTTTTTTGGTTCAAGGCTCGCTTATGATACGTTGTAGGGTTTAGGGGTTGGAAAAGGTTTAGCAAAAAGGTTGAAAGAGGTGTAGGGTCTGTTGAAAAAGGCGGCTTCGGGTTTAGGGCTTGAAAGAGGCTTTGGGTTCAGGAGTTGAAAAAAAAGTTAAAACCCTAAACCCGAAACCCTAAAGTTTGGCAGACAGCTAATATAGCATGGGCCCTCCATCTCCTGGCGTGGAGAAGCTCCCCAGTGCCCAAGGGTCCAGGGTTTAGGGTTTAGGGGTTCAAGGGGCTTCAGGGAGGAACCTGCGTCTGCGAGATTCCCTTCTGGTCCCTTTATAAGTATACTAAAAACTAGGCCGAAGGCCTATTCTACTTATTCAGGCCCCTGTATTAATCCTCAACCCCAGGGCAACATCGTCCTTTGGGGTGAGGAACCTGTGTCTAAGTGCTGGAGTCTGGGAGCATTTGGCTTGAACCCTGGGTTGGTTTTTGGCTTCGGAGTTTCATAGTCTCAAGGTGGCAAGTCCAGCATCAAAAAGTTGGCTTTACAAGCACTACCACCCTAAACAGCAGCTATGTGGGCGGCATACTGAGATATGCCGTCAATCATGAGCTCAGTTTTTTTCAGTGGGATTCACAAACTGCTTCTTCCTAATGTGGCAATTGCAGATCCTAAAGCAGGTCTCATTGCCGGTGGCTGGTCCTTGTTGGCGGGTGTGCCAAAGGATTCCTAGATTAAAGCCGTTCAGCTTTTCTGTGTGATAGTCAGCCAAAGTTCTCACATTGTGTGGGAGCCAGGTTGCACGGGCCTCCGAGCATCCCCCCCCCCCCCCCCCAACCGTGAAGAAGGTACATGGCCCAAAATGGCCACCAAAATGCAACCTTCCCTCTGGGACGCAGATGCCCATGACGAGGCCCTAAAGCCTAAACCTTTGGATTCTAAACCCTAAACTCAACAAAACTGACCTCCGAAGTAGTCCCCGGAGTGTGCGCGAGTGCTGGGCGGGTGGCGAAACAACCCTCAAAGTGATCACCTAGACCTAAACCCTAAACCCTAAACTCTAAACCCTAGACCCTAAACCCTAAACCCTAAACCCTAACCGTAGGCACGCATGGATCCTCTGGGCTCCACTGCTTTGCGCGACAGCCTTCGTGACGCCGCCAGCCCCGGAACGCTTTCAGGGCTGTGGGTTCGTCTTGGGGCTTAGGGTTTATAGGGTTTAGGCGGTTTTAGGGTTTGGGGTTTGGGGTTTAGGGTTCTAAAGGTTTGATAGTTAATTAGGCTTCAGAAGCCAAGACTCAGACAGTTTGGACGCAAGGTTCAGGGTTTATGTGAAGTGAGGTGAGTGTTGAGTCCCGGTCGCAGAGAGAGGATCATCAACATGAGAGACAAGTCGCCATCATTCCCCTAGATAACCCCTATATATACCTTATATAGCCCCTATACAATATACCTAAGTAGCCCCTCAATAACTCCTAAAGGACCCCTAAGGTCCCTTATAAGGGTCCCTACTTCAGAGCTCGGGGCAAAGGTAGCACGCGAAGTTACCAGGCAACAGTAAGGTGGGCAAGGAGGGGTTGCACGTGCCACTCCCGCTCCAGAATGCTTGGAGGTTCACGGTACTTATTAACCAATTATACTGTACATATAACCCACTTATACGCCCCTTAAGTGCCCCAATATGGTTATAGGTACAGTTATAAGTACAGTGATAATTGGTTCATATACATTATGAACCTCTAGAGTGAGAGAGGGAGCTGATCCTCCTGAGCCCGTTTTAGGGCTTATGGCTTCAGGGTCTAGGGGTTTAAGACTTAGGGTTGAGGATTTCGGGGCGGGTTTAGGGTTTAGGGTTTAGGGTTTCGGGTCCTACAATTCAGAGGTTAGCACTCAAGGCTGAGTTGTGGAATTTAGCGTGGGGCTTGCTCAGGAACGTCCCAGGCAGCGAGCCGCCAGCCTTTTTGGGCAACGACCCTTCCCTAAGCCGAACTGAAGCCCTTGCAGACAACCCCCTAAAGCCTAAACCCTGCAGACTACACCCCCAAGAGGCTCCTAAGGCTGAGGCCTACATGCCCTAAAGCCGATGGAACCCCATCTTACGCAGGGCACCCTCAGCCCCCAAAAAATGCCTCAGCCCAAACTTAGGGGGAGGGCGGGGGGCACGATCTTGCACAACTGGCGAATCCTCAAGCCCTAAACCCTAAACCCCAAACCCTAAACCCTAAACCCCAAACCCTAAACCCCAAACCCCAAACCCCAAACCCAAGGTGCAAGCCCTTGCTGCGGGCGGCGGCTCCTCCTCAGCAGTGGCCCTCTTATAGGAGGTCCAGGGCTAGGCTACTTGGAGGTTCATGGGTTTAGGGTTTAGGGTTTAGGGTTTAGGGTTTAGGGTTTAGGGTAGAACCCACTTATAAGCCCCTTAAGTTCCCGAATATGGTTAGAAGTACAGTTATTCGTACAGTTCCCGAATATGGTTAGAAGTACAGTTATTCGTACAGTTACAATTGGTTAATAAGTACCATGAACCTCCAAGTAGGGGATGTGCAGGAGATCTTTGGAACACCGGCCGCTTGTCAAGCCTAAACCCCCAGTCAAGCAGCTTGTAACGGAGAAATGCCAACCTGCCCATTGGGTGCCCCTAACATCAGCACAACTAACCCTGAATCCAAGAAGCTTTATCAAGGCCAGCCCCCAAACCCCCAGTACCCAGTAGGACCGAAACTCCAAAAGCCAGCCCCAACATGCCTAAACCCTGAAGACTAGCCTGTGGTTCCCCTGAAAAATTGGATAATGACCACGACATTTTGGAGTTGGAGAATGCCCCTGAAAATTTGAATAATTTTATACCAGCATTTGTGAGGTTTAATCATGCCCGCGACAGTTTGGATAGCGCCCACGAGGGTTTAGGATTTAGGATTTTTTTGGATACTGCCCACGAACTTTGAATCATGCCCGCGATAGATTGGACAATTGCCGTGAAAACTTGGATACTGCGCATCGCCCACAAAAATGTGGATAATGTCCGCTAAAGTTCGGAGAATGCCCGCGCATGTATAACGCCCGCAATGCCCGCGAAATTTGGAGGTAGGCACAAAACCCTGAACAGTTGATGCCTGAAGAACGGATTTCCAATTAAAGGGTAGGATGGATTTTGCAGATTTGGGATGCTCGTGGCTTTTCGGGGTTCAGGGTTTGTGGATGTTGGGGCTTGGGACTTTTGGTTCAGGCTTCAGGGCTAAGCCCTGAGTTGAATTGAAACCCTAAACCCTAAACCCTAAACCCTAAACCCTAAACCGTTGAAACCCAACATCCAAAACCGGAACCAAAGCTGAGGACCGCGGTCCCACAGCCAGACGCGCTGGGCGCGCGGCTGTTTTGGAAGTCAGCAATGTGCGCGGGACCCGCACTGTCCTGCACTGCCGGTGTAAGAGTTTAGGGTGAACCCTAAACCTTAAGCCCGAAGACCGCATGCTGTTTTGCTTGCGGTTTGTAGAGTTTGATAGACTATTCCTGGGGACCTCCTGGTTGAGGGTTTAATGTGCCGCCCCGCCGAAGTCGCAGAATACAGCCCTATGGGGATGCCCCGAACACCCAAACACCCTCAACACCCATTTGGGATTTAGAGTTTAGAGTTTAGGAGCGTAGGGTTCCGTACAGCAACCCCCCCCCCCCCCCCTCCGCAAAAAAAACGAAGTAACATGTTTTTCTCTCCGCCCGGTTCCGGGTTTAGGGCTTAGGGTTTTTCAGTTTTCAGGACCCACGATGAACTGCGAACCCTCTTTAAGATCGATCAGCTGAAGGTGGATCAGGCCCGGCCTGACTCACACCACATGCCTAAGACCAATCAAATCCTAAACAATCCTGCGCCCCTAAGAAAAGGTATCCTGAGCCCCAAAGCCTTAAATGGGCAGGGTTTAGGGTTTAGGGTTTAGGGTTTAGGGTTTAGGGTTTAGGGTTTAGGGTTTAGGGTTTAGGGTTTAGGGTTTAGGGTTTAGGGTTTAGGGTTCCCACAAGCCCTGTAAGCTCTATGGCTGTCGGGTTAGGAATATAGTGTGCTTACCCGGCACTCGCCACGAGGCCTGGATGTCAAGGACTAGATTTCACATATACTCGGACTGAGAGTAGGCCCTTATTCCCTTTCTTCAGGGTTTAGGTTCCCGCCCTGTAGGCCAC